CTTTCTCTCCAGCCGCCCTTCGTCACGCCACTTACACTCTTCGTCGAAAACTCACTCACGCTCGTCGCCGCCCAGACAGTACACACGTCAGATCCTCTCGTCTCCTAATCTCTCTCTCTCTCTCTCTCTCTCTCTCTCTCTCTCTCTCTCTCTCTCTCTCTCGTCGAACCGAACTCTCTCTCTCTCTCTCTCTCTCGTCGAACCGAACTCTCTCTCTCTCTCTTGCAACGGAGTCCAATCGAAACAGCAAAGCGATTGCGGGAAACAATACGTATCGTCCAACCGAGTCGCATCGAACCGAGCGGGAAACAACACGTATCGTCGAACCGAGTCGCGTGGAAACAGCAAACAAAAAGCAGGACCCGCGATAACCGTCAAGATCGCCGACTGGACTTACGTTAGGACGGCCCGATAGAAGTTTCGGGAATCGCCTGGCACGGATCCCGAAAACTCTATCGGGCCGCCCAACGCAAGCTCGCTCGCGGCCTGAAAGACACACGCGGTATCCGTTGGGCCCGCCTGCCAGTCCCGTCGCGTTTCCCAACAGTGGTGAGCGGCATCTCGCGGGAGCGTTACGCGAGGACCGCTATTTGCTTAAAGAGTGTTAAGGATATCGTTACAGAGTTTGTTCCAGTATCTCGCCACTTTCAGAACCCCATACTCCACTCTCTACCCTACACCCAGTCAGTAGCGCAACACCGAAATGGCCTTCCAGAGGCCAGCACCAACTACCCAGATGAAGAACAGATCCTGCGACGAAGTCCTCAGTGCCGGTGAACAACTCTGACGAAGAAACGGGCAGCTATGGCTGCCGCCACCCACAAATACTCAGTGAAGAGCCTCGAAATAGCCCTGCCAGGCGCAGATACCCTCAGGGGTAGATACGCTGAGGATGCCCCAACTTTGGCAACCTTCTGAAGGCCGGCTATGGCTGCCGTCCACGGCGAAGGTCTCAGGATGCCGCCTGTAGACAATCGTCACCGTCAACGTGCTTGGCTTCTCCAAACGCTGCTTCGCGAGATTGAACAGCCAAAAGTCCTGAATCGATTTCCCTAAACTATTAATAGATCTAGACTACTCTAACCTAGGCCTAGACCTGACTGACTGGACCGACCGGTACCGTTCCAGTTTCGGCCTCTCGGCCTCTACCTACCCGGCTATAGGCTATAGGACCGTCTAGGGGTAGCCCGGGTCGGCTATACGCAGTGGGGGTAGCTGTAGGAAATTCAGGTTAGTGCTGGGCCTATATTTCCCATATTTGCAGATATGACCCTCACGAATTTTCCATACAGGTAGGTCTCTCGGTTAGCCCTCAGCCAAACAAAATTACGAATCTACCCTACCGCTGTTACTGCACAGCCTCGCAGTCAATCTCGGCAGTCAAAATCAGCAAGACATTGCACACACACACACACACACACACACACACACACACACACACACACTCTCTCTCTCTCTCTCTCTCTCTTACACAGATCCGAAAACGGGACGGAGGCTGCATGGGGGGAGAAGAGAGTGGAGGTGGCAGCTGGTCAGGGCGGACAAGGAATAGCGGAGGGGAGAAGGGGAGGCGCTGTAGTGGAATAGGGTTGCGGAGGAGATGAGGAACGGTGGTTGGAGGAGTCAGGTGGCGTAGGAGCAGCGGAGGGCGAACGAAGACAGGGGAGGGGGGGGGAAGTGGTTTGGGGAGGGAGGCATGCCACTGACCTGAGGGTTCCATCTTGCAGCAGCATTCAGCCGATGACAACTACTCCACCGCACCTCAATCTTGGCTCACCACAGCTCACGGCGGCAGCTGACCAACCTTAGGTGAGAGGGAGACAGGGATAGTGTGTGTGTGTGTGTGTGTGTGTGTGTGTGTGTGTGTGTGTGTGTGTGTGTTGTCATGTTTGCTATACAAGTCCATTAAAATAGCATGACTGTGGCAGACTGTTTCGTCGGGCCTTCACCGACTCATCAGGAGGTTGAACCCTGATAGTCTTCCCAGAGTGAAAGAGAGAAGCAGCGAGCGAGAGAGAGAGTTGGGCGCTGCGCACCAAGGTCCACAACAGCAAGCAGGGCATATACAACACGGCCCGAGGCAGTACCCAGGACGTACTATGGCAAACAATATGAACGCGTCGGCGCAAAGCTCAAGAAAATATGGCGCGATGCGGTTGGAACCCACAAAGGCAAAGTGAGGTACCCAAAGTTGCCTGCAAACTGGGCCGTCGGGCCGTTCGCCCCGAGGTACTGGGTCGAGGGATCTCGGCGCGGTCCTAAGATCTTAAGACCGCATCTATCCAGGCCATTGGTCTGGTAGGACCCGACGGCCCCAGATGGCAGATTTGTCATTGTTAGGTCGATCTGGGCCGTGGGCCGGTAGGACCGACAACGGCCCGGATTTCAAATTTGTCACGTTAGCACTTTTAATAGTGTAGGGGCAGGCTGAGAATAACTTTTGAGTGACATCTCACATGTACTTTGCACTGTTGTGTGTGTGTGCCATCCTGTGTGAGCTTGAAGTCAGTGGCGTGCATGGTCAGTCTCAAAGCATTATTAAACAAGAAGGATGTTATAACCCTGGCCAATTTCGAGATACACATCCACTGAGTAGTACAATGCCATCCAATTGCAGAAAGAAATGAATGAACTTGAGAGGAGAGAGAGGAGTAGTAGAAGAAGAAGAAATGAGAAAGAAGAAGAAGAAGATGTACACCAGCAAAGATGATGACAGGGCTCTTCTTCTTCGCCCAACAATCTCCTYCTCCTTATCTCCCCCTTCTCTTATTCAAACAAGAAATAATAATACAATGTTGAATGACTGGTCCAKAATCATGTCCGAGTCCCTTTTCTACTGCAGGTATCACTCATGGTCCACCATAGCCATGGCCGCCTCTCSCACTCTTCACACACATAGGCCGAGGCTATGGCRGACTACTAGGCCTTGCTCCGACGTCCAAAGGACAACCCAGAGCAGCTATGGCTGCTCCAGCTCAGGCCGCCATGCCCAGCCCTGCCTCGAAGCTTCTTGGTGTAGCTCYCCCCGGCTGGGGACTCCTTGCTGCAGCGCCCACCAAGGTGATGAAGATGGCTGCCACCATAGCCAGGTAAGTACCCCTGGCGCTCCTCCCTCTTCCTCCTTCCTTCCTCCTCCTTCCTCCCTCTCGTCCTTCTTCTTCCTCCCCAGCAGCGCAGCTCCAACCCAGCGCTGCTCCCTCCAGCGCTCCACCAGTGTGTCGCCGAACTTGCACACCGAAAAAGAGGCCTGGTCTTCCGCCCAGCCAGAAGATATAGCGGCCTGCTTGCCTCTTGGGCGGTGACTTCCAGGCCGCTGGCCTTCCCAAGCAACCAGTACCTCCTCCTATTTTTGGAGGGAACATCATTGCAGACTCTGATATTGCCCTTACAGGCCCTAGACTCAGACTGGTACCCGCTAGACCTAGCCTACACTACCGGACTCTAAAAATGCCACTTTTGTCTTCTTCTGCTCGGCCTCCGGTACCTGCATATTTACCCCCCTACCGGGTGCGGTACCGGCCTACCCGCTACTTGAGTGCTTTTTCCCCTGCTGCAACCCTTCAAAGCCACGGCCACAGGTAAGTACCGGCCCTGAGGCCCAACGAACGAACAAGTGCCCTGGCGGGCCACACACACGCACACTCATACCAACCAGCACTCAGACAGACATGCAGTCCAGCAAGCACACACACACATAGACTTAGCAGGCGGGGAACTCAGTAGGGCATTCAGTCTATGAGCAAAACTCAGAAATCAGCTGTGTGTTTCAATCTGTGTTTGGACGGGTTATCACAAGGGAAAAAAAAGAAAGGGCAAGACAAAGCTGATCAACACAGAACCAAAACAACGCACAACACAAGCATTTCTGATTTTCTATCACGTTACTCACCATCCACATCAGATGCGCAAAACTTTGGCAAAGGTGCTGTGGAGGCCTGCAAAGGAAAACGAGCAACAATGTCAGATGTCAGGGAAGCAATGGCATCCCTCCCTCCAATGGAGTGAAGCGAAGAGGGAGACACATCAAGAAGAATGGCCCCCCGCTGAGCGACACTGGCAAATCCAAAGGGGAGAAGGAGGAGAAAAAGAGGAAGGAAAGAAACGAAGAGAGGGACCACCACCAAGATAACTCCACCCCTTCATGAATTGCCACGAGACACAGGGAATGATGATAGTCTCTGCCTCTCCTCCAAAAAATAATGCTTTCAACAAAAGAAGACCTCAGCAACATCAACAAGACTAAACATGCACAACTGCTGGCTCATGGTGAGAAGGGGAGCTCCTTGGGCCAACGTAGTTAACGAGTCCAAGACATAGTCTACAATATTTACTTCTGGATTGATGTCATTCCAAAACAGCAAAATTGTAAGTTATGCATACTGCACAACTGAGACATCGAGCACTCTAACCCCCCTCTTCCCCCAGCATAACATGCTAGTGACAAGCGCAACAGTCTGAGTCCCCACCCCATCATCTGTATGCCCTGGCCACATCCTCAATGCTGCACAGCGACACATATAGACAAATGTGTACTGATGAGCTCCATGGCACTTGGAACTGTTGGTTGAACTCCTGCAAATGGCAGTGCTTTACTATGCACCATCTGTTTTCCAAATTCTCATATACACTTTCAAGACCTGCTGTGATGTGAAATTGAGAGGTGACTCACCATTATCCAGCCCCATGTGTCTGCATAGCTTGTGATATGCTGTGCATATGGAAAGACATCTGCAAAACAAAGTTCACCAGAGTAGAATTAAGCAATCAATCAACTGCAAATAACATTATGCAATCCGACTCGACTCACTTTGTTGCCAGCATGCATGCAAACAGATGACGAAGACGATTTGGCGCTCTGCACCCACACAAACTCAAAGATATGAACACGACCAGGAACACAGTTCAGATTCAGCTTGTCTCAGATGGCTATGGCGCACAGCGCCCGACAAAGTTCCCTCCCGATCAACTGTATCCACCAGCAACTTGTCCGCACACACACACACACACTCAGACGCCTAGGATCACCCTGAATGTCCCACACACACACACTGTACACATATCGTACTCTATCCTACGTGGCAGCTATGGCTGCCGTCTTCCTCGTACACTGGACTATCGGCTATGGCCGCTCCTTCCGCCTCTTAGCCCACTTCTTCCTCAGGCACCTGCGGACCTCCGATGCACAAGCCGCTCAAGCGCTTCCACATGGCTCACAGGCAGAATGAATGAATGGCATGATGCTGCCTCTTTATTTATACTTGTTTCTTCGGCGGTCTGGCCCCGTGGCCCAGGCCCAGAATGCGCACAGTCCCACTTGGTACTTGCTGACTGCAATAGGTTAGGACTGGGACTGGGTACTACTGACTAGGCTAGGATAGGACTGAGACTGCCCTTTGCTGACTAGGCTACGACTGCCCTTTGCTGACTCAGCTATGGACTGACTCCTAGATCCTACGACGAGCCACCTTGAAAGCTTCAAGACTAGGCCTAGGTTGACCTTTGGGAACTGTAGCAGCTACGACCTAGACTGACCCTATGGCTACTAAACCCAAGTCTACGGGTCGAGTCCACGCGACCAGACTATGTACAGCAGTCGAACATACGACTTTTCAGGGATAGGTCGCGGGTTCGAACACACAGGGGTCAATGGGTACTGTACAGGTCTACGGATCGATCCCTGGGAACTGTCTGTCACACGACTTAGGTGAAACCGTTTCCCTCCTGCGGACCTAAATTTGAGGTCCTCTGAGAATAATTCAATCCAAGGCAGGATCTTTACCGTTTCTTGCCCTGTCATAGGCATGGACTATGTCGGGAGTGGTTTCTAGAACCTCGGTCCTTAGGAACCAGCGGTCGTCCTCAGGTTCCTGATAAGCAAACCTCACATTATACTGCTTTTGCGGGCGACCCCTACCTCCAGTCGGGAACACATCCTCTTCCACTATGCGGTCTATGTCATAAGTGTCGTCCATGTCTGGCGGGATCATCCATCTGCACGATGGGAATTGCTGACTGGTGACACAAGGCAACAACTTTGACGCATGGAAGACTGGATACATATGGAGGTGTGGTGGAGTGTCTATTGTGCACGATGGTCCATCCTCCCCACCTTCGCGGACAGGCCATGGTCCCCTATATGCGAGTAACAATTTTTGGGAGATGTTTTCCTCTGGAGTGAACTCCTTTAACTTGACCAGACAAGGTCGCCCACCTGGAACTCTGATGGTCAGCAATGTTCATTCGCTTGTTCTATCATTCAGTGCTGGGCCTTTCTAAGGTTGTCGATCACCCTTGTGATCTCCTTTTCATGCTGCAATGCGAACTCTCTAGTCTCGGGTGGCAATCTCTGTATTTGGTCCCGGTTCAGTCCTTCAAATGGTCTGCGTGGTCTGAAGGACTTGTGCAGCTCATTAGTAGTGTGACAGGTAGCTAGATCAACGTTGTTATTATAGGCGCGAGCTACCTTGGGAAGCATCTCATCCCCGTTAGTCTGGTCTGGTCTAATGTACATCTAGAGTACTTGTTGCAGGATCTTATTCAACTGTTCAGTCTGGCCATTACTCCTTGGATGGCGGCCAGAAGACATCAGCAACTTAGAGTCGTAGACTCTCATAAGTTCCTGCCAATTCTAACTAGTAAATCGCGTGTCTCTATCACTAACTATGGATAGCGGCATACCATGTTCACTTACACAGGAATCAAAGAACCTCTCTACAACTAGTTCGGTCCGTACCTCTAAGGGCAAAGGAACAAAAACTGCATACTTGCTAAAACGATCAACTATTACCATGACTTAGCTCTTGCCATGCCTACTTCTAACCCCGACATCCATGAAATCGATGGATACAGACTCCCCGGGTCCTGAGGGGATAGGCAATGGTCTGAGAAGGCCCAATGGGGCTCGCGTCGCGGTCTTATTGCGCTGGCACACTTTACAACTGCTAACGTACTCTACGCAGCCGGCTTTCATGTCGGGCCATGTGTAGAAACGTGATAGGTTGGCTAAGTCTTTTGCTAGTCGAAGTGTCCTTCTGTATCATGGCGTTCCCCTAGATCAAACTCCGGATCTCTTCACTACTGGGGACGCATAACCTATCTACGACGTCGGTCTTCTCAAACAATAACCCGTTCGTGAACCGATAATTGGGTTCACTATCAGGGGCCTCCTTAACTCTCTTCAGGAGGTCATTGTAGATGGGGTCCTGAGCATACGCATCCTTAACCTTTTGCTGCAGGTCAGTCCCTATGTCTAAGTAGTGAACTATAGCTCCAAAGTAGTCATCTCTCCTACTTAGAGCATCTGCTACCACGTTGTACTTCCCTTTGACCGGTTTAAGCTCGACGTCAAACTGAGCGATCTCGGTAGCCCACCTAGTAAGCTTAGGTGTCATCTTGGCTTCCGTTTTCAGCCATTTCAGAGTCTCGTGGTCTGAATAGACTTTGAAGTGCTTCCCAAGCAAGTAATGTCTCCAGTGGTCTAGCGCTTGCCTAAGAGTGTAGAGTTCTCTCTCATAAGTTGAGGTTGCTACTTTTTCTGAAGGCAGCCTAGCAGACATGAGCTCTACGGATCTATACCCATTGCCATCATCCTGCTGTAACACAACACCAATGCCATATTGACTCGTGTCTGTAGTGACGACAAAGGGTACGGATGGATCGGCTACTTTGAGGACAGGATATTCTACCAGGGTCCGCTTTAACTTCTTCAGGGCCGAGGTGCAGTCTTGGTCCCACTTCCAAATTGCTTCTTTCTTTAGTAGTCTGCAAAGGGGAGCAGTGACAGTGGAAAAGTTTATGACAAACTTCCTATAATAGTTGGCCAATCTTAAGAACGATCACAACTCTGTCAGTGTGCGAGGAGTTGGCCAGTCTCTAATCGTTGCGATCTTGCTGTCCTTAGGTTTAATGTCGTCTCCATCTAATACGTGGCCCAAGTACGGGATTTCAGTCTTGGCCCAGTCACACTTCTTTGCATTGATCTTGAAGTTTGTCTCACGCAACTTCTCCAAGATCTGCCTCAGATGACCCTCGTGCTCCTGGAGGGTCTTGCTAAAGATTAAAATATCATCCAAGTATACTACACCAAATCTATCTAGCCATGGTCTAAATAAGTCGTTCATACAACACTGAAAAGTGGTTGGTGCATTAGTCAGTCCAAAGGGCATGACAATGAACTCGTAATGCCCATATCTAGTCCTGAACGTCGTTTTGTACTGATCATCAGGGTGGACTTCAATCTGATGGTACCCCAACTTTAGATCGATCTTTGTAAAATATTTGCAGCCCTGCACCCTGTCTAACAGATCATCTATACGGGGCAGCGGTCTTGCATTCTTAACTGTAATGGCATTCAGCCTCATGTAGTCTATGCACATCCTTAACTCTCCCTCCTTCGGAAGGAACAAAACAGGTGCTCCAAAAGGTGACAAACGGGGCCTAATCCAGCCTGTCTTGAGGAGCTCGTCTAACTACTTGTGCAACTCCTCTAATTCCCTTGGAGAAAATTTGTAGACTGCTCCTTTGGGAGTTCTACTGCCAGGTTCTATCTCAATGCAATGTTGGAATAGATGCAGTACTACTCCAGAAGGGGCTTCAGACATATCTGCGTACTCTTCCAGCAACTTTGGCAATAGTGGGATGGACCGGTTTCTCTTCTTTAGGCTCAATGACTGGCCTGACATAGGCTACGAAGACCTGCTCTTCTAGCTTCTCCTTTCTGATAAGCCGAGCGAAGGTCGAGGCGCTGAGGCAGCAATATGCCAAGGAATTATCTGCCCCTGACACATGAAATAGGCAGGCCATCTTGACGCCACCTATGGGACTAGGAAGCCTACACTCATGCTTTCTCAACTGCAGTGTGGCTCCTGCAGCCTCTCCCCAACCTACTCCTAAAACCATATCGAATAGGAGATCATCTTCAACGAGGAGAGTCAGGGAATGAAGGACTCTCTCTACCTTCCCATCGGCTTCTAGGCGAAATAGGTATGAACTCCCTCGACGTAATGCTCAATCCGCATTGTGTGGTTATCTGCGAGGACACTTGCTACAGGTTCATCTAGCTTCTGGACCTTGAGGCCAAGCTTCAACTTCTTCAATGCTTTACGACTAATGTAACTACGGGTGGCCCCACTGTCTATAAGGGCCCCTACTCGAGCTCTAAATACTAGTATGTATGCAATCAGTCGTTGTCCTTTACTTTCCTTCTTCATTTTGGCCCAAGCCAACATCCTCTCTTTCAACTCTTTTGCAAGACCTGTGAGGGAAGCGCCTAGAGAAACTCTAACACAAGCAGTCTCTGGACAGTTGACTAAACGCTGGCCAACAACCTTTGCCCTAGATATACGCGGAGTGGGAGTTTCTGTATGGCGCGCAAACTCATCTCCACGAAGTCTAGGGGTAAGGGCAGTTGCTACCTTTACCGACAGTTGCCTTTTGCTACTCCAGAAGTAGCATTCCGGGCACCTCTGTACTTCGGGCAGAATTTGACAATATGCCAAGGGTCACCGCAGAATACACACTGGTACTTATCAACCTTGCCCTGCCAAACATTTTGCTCAATGCCAGAGTTTCCCAGAGACGGCCCTGAGGCCGACCAGGGTGCCAACCACCCCTCTTGGGAGGTGATCGATCGAAACGCAAACGGTTAGACGGGGTACCTTGACCCCTGCCTCCCGCTTGGCGGTTTCCATTGCCGCCAACCCCCTGGCCGCCCTGTCCTCGACCACCAGAGGCCTGGCCACTTCAGCTTCGGCCTCTTCCTCCTCCCTGCAACCTCCCTGCGGCCTTCCTCCGGCCGCGACAACAGCATAGGTACTCCCCTTCCCTGCCCTACTGTTTGTGTCATCAAGGCCCCATTCTATGTTGTTGTAAGGGACCACCTTTGCACCACCCTCCTCCATTGTCAGTATAAGATGGTCCTTGGCCTTGACTTGGCCAGAGATGGTGCAACCTTTCCACTTTTTGCCCTTAGTAAGGTCCTTGCGCCAGAAAGTGTTAACTGGCATGGAATGGGCGGCAAAAGCAACAACTTCCCTAATTAATTGATCATAGGTCATCCCAGGTTGCTGCTTCTTCTCGAAGAAGTGCCCTTGTAGGTGCTCGGGCATCGCATGACAGAACAATTGGATTAGCTCTGCCTCTGTGACACCATGCTCAGGCACAACGACCAATTCATCCATGGCGGCCTTAAGAGCATGGGCGCTCCTCCATTGTTGCATGTGGATGGTCTGGAGCTTTCCCTAGTGACGTCTGCAAATCTTTCCCTAAGCGCGGCGTAATCATATCCCTCTAGTGACGTCTGCAAATCTTTCCCTAAGCGCGGCGAAGAAGTCACTTAGATGAGTGATCGCGGAATAAGCAATCATATCGTTCTCACAACGGGCAGCGCACGCGAGCGACCTAGCGAAGCTATTCGTTTCCTCTCTAAGTGCTTGGAAAGCTATAAGGATGTGGTCCTCCTGCGGGATGTCTTGAAGATACATTAGGACTTAACGTTGGCCTCCCAATTATCAAAGCCATCACCCTTCTTCTCACTGAAGGGCTCGGGGAATCTAACCTTAACACGCTCACGAAGCGGTCGCGACTCTTCCTCTTTGGAGGCAACGATCTTGGCTCCTTCAATGGCGAAATGCAAAACTTATGGGTCCCCTCTATTGCAGTGTGTAGTTTCGTGCTTGTGCGTAGCATCATGTCCTGCGCAAAATCCTTAAAGCCTAAACGTATAGACTCAAGGGTAAGATCATGTCCCTTAAGGTGCTTAACTTGATCCTGCTGGGCCTTTAACACCGCAGTTACGGTTAGGGTGAGTGTGTTAAGCTTTTGGTTAATATATGCCCCCAGACTCTCCTCTGCAACCTACAATTCTTTTTCTGCTCTTTCCGCCGTCTGTAATCGTCTCGTCTTTTCCTTTTTAAGGCGCAACTTCCACTCCAACATCTTTTCTTGCTCCAACGCCTTCTTCTGCAAGGGGTTTTCCTCTGCTTCCAGCTTTTTCTGTACTGCTTCCTTCTCCGCCTGGGAAACAGCTGGGATGCCCACTCTCCAATCTTTCTCCCCACTTCTTCTCTCTGGGCTGGGTCGCTGCTAGACTCCCCCTTTTCCTCTGTCACCCCTCTTGCCATCCTCTTTAATGGGGTCGGTGCACTTCTTCCTCTTTTCTTCTTCTTCTTCTTCTTCTTCTTCTTTTTCTTCCTTCTCGACTCCTGCTGTCTTCTCCTCCTGTTCATTCAGCAGCCACTTCATCTCCTCCTCCAATTCCCTCTTCTTCGTTGCCTGCTCCTCCAACAGGGTCAGTTTTGGCCTGCTTCTCCAACGGTTTCCTCTCCCTTTTTTCTTTCTGTTCACGCAGTATGGCGACGACTCTCTCCTCCAGCTCCATAGTGTACGAGGTAGTCTGTCGCCCGGATTTGGTAGTAGTGGCAAAACTAACAGTGCGCTAGAAACCTAGAGGGAAGAAGAGATGGTAAAGGGCTGCACACAAGGAGAAGCCCACAAGCAAGGTGTACATGGGGTAGTCGTCCATGGTGAAAGGTGCACAACTTATTGACAGTCCCACTCCTCACCACGTAGACCCACCCAACACAAACTCTAGCCTAAACTACTCTAGGGCTGTCACTACAGGACTCTACTGCTGATCCTGAGGCATTTAAAGAGATCCCTCAAACTCCTTAGGAATTATTTAATGTTGCAGCCAGGACGACGTGATCAGCAGAGCCCTCTCAAGACTTAGACAGCTGGATGCGCAGCCCACAACTCGTAGTTAGGGCCTACCACGCCACAATGAGCAGCCTGCCGGTCTGTACCGGTCCTTGGGGTCTTGTCCCCAGGTCGTCAATCCTCAGACGTAGCCTTAGCCCTACTAAGTCCCGTGCAGGTTTGGTCACCTCAGCTCTATGACCACATACACAAAAGCTATCACCTAAAGAGAAGTGACTCAATGCAGAAAGAAGGGGCAGACATACACTAAGCAAGTACCAAGGTTATGTGCACATCCACAGGGCAAGGGGATAGGGCCAAGACTTGGAGAGATTATACCACGCCCCAGCTTGGTCATAAGTCTTGGTCAACGATGGGGCAATGATGGTCAAACTTGGTCAACATCGGTCAAACTTCACCGGTCAACCTTTGACCTCTTGGCTATGGCCGCTGACCTTCTTCTTCGTCAACCCTCTCCGTTTTCCCTTTCGTCTTCTTCTAACCCCACCTTGCCTATGGCTTCCTCTCTCACCACGACACTTTTTTTTTTTTTTTTTGTCTTTCTTTGACATCACTCTCGTCTTCTTCCTCCACTCCGAGCTCGGCGACTGTGGCCTCCAGTCCTTCCTTATGTGCATCACCTCCTTCTCCTCTCTCTCTCTCTATTTACTTGCTCTCGTTCTTGTCGTTGTCGTCTTCTTCGTGATCTCCAAAACGCGTGGCGACAGTCTTCTTCGGTGATGGTTGTTCCTCGTGGCGATGGCGGTCTTCCTCTTCGGCACACAGCAGATTAAAGGGAGGCGCGCGATCTGCTAGCGGGTGCGTGATAGAACCCGTGGCGCACGATCAGAAATAGCGGGCGCACAATCTGAAGTGCGGGCACGCAATTGGATGATGGACGTGTGGATAGCAGCGGGCACGCGCGGATAGCAGCGGGCGCGTGGAGAACAGCTGGCGAGCGCAGATAACAGCGGGCGCGCGCGGATAGCAGCAGTCAGAGGAGAACAGCGGGCGCGTGCGGATAACAGCGGGTGAGCGTTGGGCGCGCAATCTCCTCCTCACACCTAGCGTTGGCGCTATCGCAAAACTGGCTTGCAGCAAGCGCGCGCGCGGCGCGCGACCTTCCCTGTGGCGACACAAACAGCGGCGCGCGATCTGGCTAATGGCGGGCAACGGTCTCCTTCAACGGCGATGGCGACCTCGATTGGCTATGGCGACGGCTATGGCGGCGGGACAACGGGTACCAGCTCTGATACCAGTGCAATCAGACTCGACTCACTTTGTTGCCAGCATGCATGCAAACAGATGACGAAGACGATTTGGTGCTCTGCGGGCCCACACAAACTCAGAGATATGAACGCGACCAGGAACACAGTTCAGATTCAGCTTGTTTGAGATGGCTATGGCGCACAACGCCCGACAAAGTTCCCTCCCGATCGACTGTATCCACCAGCAACTTGTTCGCGCGCACACACACACACACACATACACACAGACGCTATCTAGGATCACCCTGAATGTCCCACACACACGCTGTACACATATCCTACTCTATCCTACGCAGCAGCTATGGCTGCCGTCTTCCTCCTACACTGAACTAGCGGCTATGGCCGCTCCTTCCACCTCTTAGCCCACTTCTTCCTCGGGCCCCTGCAAACCTCCGATGCACAAGCTGCTCAAGCAGCACTTCCGCATGGCTCACAGGCAGAATGAATGAATGGCTTGACACTGCCTCTTTGCCCAGGCCCAGAATACGCACAGTCCCACTTGGTACTTGCTGACTCTACAAGGTTAGGACTGCGACTGGGTACGACTGACTAGGCTAGGATAGGAGACTGCCCTTTGTTGACTAGGCTACGACTGCCCTTTGCTGACTCAGCTACGGACTGACTCCTAGATCCTACGAAGATCCACCTCGGATGCTTCTAGACTAGGCCTAGGTTGACCTTTGGGAACTGTAGCAGCTACGACCTAGACTGACCCTATGACTACTAAAACCCAAGTCTACGGGTCGAGTCCACGCGACCAGACTATGTACAGCAGTCGAACATACGACTTTTCAAGGATAGGTCGCGGGTTCGAGCACACAGGGGTCAACGGGTACTGCACATGGGAGAAAGGGGACAGGTCTAGGGATCGAGCCCTGGGAACTGCGTCTGTCACGAGACTTAGGTGAAACCATTTCAATTACAACCATCGATGCTTCGGTGGCTGGCAAACCTTAACCTGTTACCTGACTGGTAGGCTGAGAGTTCAAGTCCTATTCAGTACCATAATTTTTGTGTGCTACAGCAGCTACACACATTTTTGAGAGGGGAGAGGAAAAAAGTTAACACTGACTTTCGGATGCAGTAATCAACACACTTCAAACTTCAAAGAGACTTTCTGTCCTCTGTACTTGTTTCCTCTTTTTCTTTCCTTAAAAAGAACTTAAAAAAAAGGGGACGGCGTTGAGATATCATCATTGAAATGACTGGCCCCAGCTTATTCAGAATGATTATATTCTGGTCATCTGATTGTATCTAGATTCGAATTGGGTATGGATTTCAACAGCTCGTAGGTGTACCAACTAAGCTAGGCCCGTTGGTTGTCCTCTGTATTTGTAGCATACACTGCCATATAGGGAAAAGAAAGTCAGCAGAGCCTTTGCACAAGGGTGTGTTATGATCCTGGCCAATTTCGAAGTACAATTCATCAGATAGTACAATGCCATCCAATGGCAAAAGAAATGAATGAACTTGAGAGGAGAGAGAGAGTAAGAAGAAGAAGAAGAAGAAAGAAAGAAGAAGAAAGAAAGAAGAAGAAAGAAAGAAGAAGAAGATGATGTACACCAGCATAGACAAATGATAACGCTCTTCTTCTTCGCCAAACACTCTCCTCCTCCTTATCTTCTCCTTTCTTATTCACACAAGAAATAATAATACAATGTTGAATGGTTGAACCAGAATCAATGTCCGAATCCCTCTTCTACTGCAGGTATCACTTGAGGTCCACCATAGCCATGGCCGCCTCTCTCCTTCTTCCTCCTAGGCCGAGGCTATGACGGACTACCAGGGCATGGACCGGATCTCCAAAGGACAACACACAGCAGCTATGGCTGCTCTAGCTCAGGCTGCCATGCCTGACTCTGCCTCGAAGCTTCTTGGTGTAGCTCTGCCCCACCGGGGGCCTTCCTGCTGTAGCGCCCACCAAGGTGATGAAGATGGCAACCACCATAGCCAGGTAAGAACCTCTGGCCCTCCCCCTTCCTCCTGGTCTTCTTCCTCCTCTGTGTCCTTGCTCCTTCCCCAGCAGCGCTGCTCCAAGCTAGCGCTCCAACCAGTGTGTCGCCAAACTTGCACACCGACAATGAGGCTGCGCTCTTCGCCCGGCCTGAAGATATAGCGGCCTACTTGCCTTTTGGGCTGTGACTTCCAGACGGCTCGCCCTTCCCAGCAACCGGTACCTCCTCCCATTCTGTAGCATACCGTAACGTGCAGACCAGAACAAGAACCGACCTCTCAATACAAAGTACAAGATAACACAGCGGAAGACTTAGATACCAGTGATCCGAACAATCAATATTGAAATGATGCCCGGAACATACATCATCATCATCGTTACATGGTGTGAATGGGGTCTGGCGCTTCACACAGGAAGACTGCACCAGCCCCTACCATACACAGACGAGGAAGAAGGGGTTAGACGAAGAGGAGGGGAAAGATGGGAATGTCGTCAACACCAAGTCTTCGGCACAGGCCCAAATAGTCCCTCGTCGACATGTCTGAATCCCAAATGTCAAGTCTGGATCCAATGTCGTCAAGTCTCAAGTCACAACTCTGTCTCTCTCTGTCGTAGTCTAAGAAGTCAGGTGGTGAGAGGGTGAGAAGAGATGGTGGACTTAGAGGAGGAAGAAGAAGAACTCT